GAGGGTTGACTTCTGTCTTGTCTCAGTTTCTTTTGTAGTAAAATGGGGATATTCACAGTACTTGCCTTACATTCTTGCTATGAGAATTAAAAGGATGAATACTTAGGAAATAAAAAATTAAATGAGCTGTTTTTAGTGTTTTAATCACTATCATCATCTCTCCGTCTTTCCGGTCTCCAGTTCATTCAGAGAGCTTTACCATGTAAGAGTCTTAAATGAAAAGAGCTAAACAAGTGTCCTAGTGGTATGTGTGTGAAAATGAGAGAATCTCAGTATTCTCTGATGAATTTCTTTAATTATTCTTTGTGGAGGTAACAGCATTAATGGAGGTAGCTGTAATAAGAGTTTCTTATGGCCAAAGAAGAGCTCATGAACTGATCTGAGCATTTGATGATAAATGACTCAGTTTGAAAAGGACAATTAAGACTGATGGGAACTGTAGCCAAATGGAGAATATAAGCTCCATCTAAAAGAGGTGACCACTGTTTCGTTCAGAGGATTGTTGCCATGCAGGAATATGAGCTCAGTTTTACCAGGTAAACTCATTTTTATGAGAAATGACTTACTTCTAAATTTTGGCAACTAATTCAAAGTCAAAACACTACACAGGTTCAGTGCATGTCTGCAACACACACACACACACACACACACACACACACACACATGCACACACTCGTGCTCACACACATATACATGCAAACAATATACAACTCTACATTTATCTGTCTATCCATCTATGTATCTGCTTGTGTTTTATGTATGTATGTATATATACACATACTCCACTTACAAACCTATATACTCATAGGTGAGTTCTAGAATTGTAAACTTGTATAGTTGTTTAGTTATATATGTGTATATATCAAAACACAGACACACAGCCATAAATATGTGCATGTTCACAGACATATACACACAAAAACACATCTACGGGTGGCTTTTTATAGAGAACTCTCTATAGTCATTTTTTCTCTGATGGTCTCTACTTTCTGACTTTTCAGGAGCAGGGACTTCTTTTACCCCAAGTCAAACAAGAATTTGTTGATGTAAACACATTTTGTTGATTTAATCAACAAATTCTTGTCCATGTAGACAAGGTTATATTGTCATGCAATTTTTTCATTGAAACTGTACATTATGTCACATTAAGTTTTTGCATTAGTATTGAATCTTAAAGTATCCACTAATTCTTCTAATTCTGTAGTTTTATTTTTAGGGTTTATAGTGAAACTAATTTTTCTGTGGTAAAAATAAAATTTTAAATGAAAACATTTTATTTAAAAATATGACATAATTTCCAAATTTGATATAAATTATATAACCTTTTAAAGATAATACACCTCATTGAAAAGCAAAACACAACAAACATTGGATTCCACAGAAATTTCACATGCTCGTTTGAGAAGGAAAAATACCTTAAGGGCAGAGTTGAAGCTATATAATGCAAGCATAGAGGCCGCATGCTACCTAAAAGCACATGCATTCATTCAAACTGAAATATGTGTGGCCATGGTTTTGATGGAACTTTATTCTCACATGAAATACTACTACATTGTCAGCAAATATGAATACATGAGTAAATAGCGTGAGTTCAAAGCTTATTAGTTTAGTCACAGACCTTGCTGATATTTAAAATGCAGTGTAACAG